AACTAATACAATATCAGAATTTTATTTTTTTATACTTTTCATTCAACCGCAATTAAATTCACTCTATCTAGGAGGCACAATTTATATGGATAGCATTTATTTTCACAGTAACAAGCTGGAATGAAAACAAGCAAAAATGAAATAAAAGTAACGTCTTTCTACTTTTTGTCTCTATTAAAAATGTAAGGAGTAGAAGTAAAAAGTAGGCTGAAAAATAATTACTCAAGTAAAGTACAGATACCCAAAAATTCTACATAAGTACAGTAACAAAGTATTTGTAGCCTACTTAGTTAATTTACAACTCTGATATTGTGACACTTTTATGTTGTAAATCTACTTTAATTATTTAAGGGACTTTTATATTAACTCCCTTTTGTTTCATGTTGTGTTTGATTCAGGTTCTTATGTTCAAGTGAAGGGACAGTTGTCTCTGTGGTATTCCAGAAATGATCTGTTTCCCCACCAGAGGGGGCTCTCGCCTGTCAGCTCTGCACAATAAAACGTTCATTTAAAGGCTGAAACACAACCGTGCATGTCCACAAACGTCTTGTGTAACTGTCACTCTGTGACCGTAAAGGCTTAGCAAAGGTGCTTCTTCCTTTTGTTGAATAGCCTGTATTTAATTCCCACACATTTGCTTCCACTCCTCTCAATAAAAGCAAAATAAGGCAAATTTCGTTTTATTAGTGTGTTGTAAGATTGTTTTTCTATGAGCAGAAAGGGTTTTTAATTTTTTCCTTCTGCCTGTTGACAAAACCAAGGCTTTTCTCTGTCAGTTTATGTTCTCRGAATCCTTGTTTCCAAGTAGGGATCTCTGCAGTCTGTGCTGGACTTGTGGGGGAAGTTAAAATTATTATGAACATGTAAATATAATTTACTGACTTCAAAACTGGTGCGACTAGCACCTTCCTGTCTAGAGCCATGACTAATATTCATATTCGTTTATAGCAATCTATAGCTGTTTTGATTTATCCAAATAGTTACGTCCCTCCATATGTACGGCATTCCAATTTTGTTCACACCTTCTTGTCCAATTCAAACATTGATCAATTGTATTGATCAAATTTATGATTGGATGTGCCAAAACTTTCTTCAGTTAAACAAAGACAAAACTGAAATAATTGGTACCAAGGAGAAACGATTAAAAGTTAGTACTCAGCTTCAATCAGTGACCTTAACAGCCAGAAACCAAGCTAAAATCTGGGTGTAATCATGGACTCAGAGATGAATTTTAACAGCTATATAAATATAGTTCTGAAGTCAGCCTATTATCACTTAAAGAATTTATCAAGGCTGAAAGGATTGATGCCTCAATGGGACTTAGAAAAACTTGTCCATGCAGTTATCTTTAGTAGATTGGACCACTGTAATGCTGTGCTCACAGGTCTCCCTAAAAAATTCAGTCAGGCAGCTGCAGTTAGTTCAGAATGCTGCTGCTCGAGTCCTCACAAAGACTAAGAAAAGGGACCATATAACTCCAGTTCTTAAATCTTTACACTGGCTCACCATCTGTCAAATAATTTATTTCAAAATACTACTATTGGTTTATAAAGTGCTGAATGGTCTAGGGCCAAAATATATGACTGATCTTCTGGTCTGCTATAAACCACCCAGAGCCCTCAGGTCATCAGGGACAGGCCTGCTCTCTGTTCCCAGGGTCAGAACCAAACACTCATTTTTATATGTATTTTATTTGTTTTATATTGTTCTGCTTCATTTTTAAATGCTGTATTCACTATGCTGATACCCTGCTTTTAATATTTTATGTAAAWCACTTTGAGTTGTCTTGTGAAATGTGCTATTAAACTTGCCTTGTCTCAAATTATGACTAATATTCATTTTGATATTCATTTTTAGCCACACTATATTGCCACAAGTATTGTTTAGCCTGCCTTGACTCACATATGAGCTTAAGGTACATCCTATTCCTAATCCATAGGGTTCAATATGATGTTGGTCCACCCTCTGCAGCTAGAACAGCTTCAACTCCTCTGTCCACAAGGTTTAGGAGTGTTTCTGGGGATTTTTGACCATTCTTCCAGAAGCACATTTCTGAGGAAGGACACGTTGTCTTTCTGCATGTCTTCTTCAACAGCAGAGATACTGTCTGACAGAGAGGAGATCTGCTCCTGGATCTTCTTCATCTCTCTGCTGACAGTCTTCCTCTTCTGCTCCTCTTCCTCCCTCAGARCTGCCAGTCTGGACTCCTCTTCCTCTCTCAGGAACTGGTGGAGCTTGTTGAACTCTGCTCTGATCTGTCTCTCTGTGGACAGCAGCTGCTTCTTGTGGTGTTGGATCACATCATTGTATGTTTCCTCCACATGTTTGTGTTTGTTCCTCTTATCCTGCAGAGACTTTAAGTCAGATCTCAGCTGCTCCTTCAGCTCTCTGACTGCTTGTTCTACAGGAACCACTTTATTTTCCAACAAGACTTGGCTCCTGCACATAGTGTCAAAGCTACCAGTACCTGGTTTAAGGACCATGGTATCCCTGTTCTTAATTGGCCAGCAAACTCTCCTGACCTTAACCCCATAGAAAATCTATGGGGTATTATGAAGAGGAAGATGTGATACACCAGACCCAACAACTCAGAAGAGTTGAAGGCCACTATCAGAGCAACCTGGGCTCTCAGAACACCTGAGCAGAGCCACAGACTGATCCACTCCATGCTATTGCTGCAGTAATGCAGGTAAAAGGAGCCCCAACTAAGTATTGAGTGTTGTAAATGCTCATACTTTTCAGCTGGCCAACATTTCTAAAATTCTTTTTTATTGATCTTAAGTAATATTCTATTTTTTCAAAATACTGAATTTGGGATTTTAATTTGTTGTCAGTTATATTCCTCAAAATTAAAAGAAGTAAACATTTGAAATATATCAGTCTGTGTTTATTGAATGGAAATAATATAGAAGTTTCACGTTTTTAATGGAGTTACTGAAATAAATCAACTTTTTCATTATATTCTAATTTAATGAGCAGCATCTGTATATCTGCCATGGTCATCTTCATACTGGACTGCATAGGTCTGATACATCCTGCTGAAGTCTGATGTGATTTGTGTCATACAGATGTGATGGATCCTACAAACCAATAGGGAGTCAGAATGGAATTTATACCTCTCATTCAACCACAATTCAATTCACTGTGTACAGGAGGTGCGATTTATCTGGATAGTTTAACTACAACCAGTGAACCAGTGACCGAGAGGCTCTCTTTTCTCAGATTAATAACAATTTCTCCACCTTTAACTCTACCAGCCTAGATGATCTAGTCTCCACCTACAACAATGGTCTCACTAACATCCTCGACTCTCTTGCTCCTCTTAAAACCTGGTCTGTCTCCTTCTCCACCTYTGCTCCTTGTTTCACCTCAGAACTTCGCTCCATGAAAACGCAAGGCCGCAGACTCTACAAGAAATCAGGACTTACAGTTCACAAAGAAATGTACAAAAACCACACCTTAAAGTACAAAGAAGGTATTACTCAGGCCAACTCTCTCTCTCTCCTCAACAGCACAGTTTCATTTCCCAACTCTCTACCCCTGACATGCTTTCTACTGATTGCTGTAACTCCCTCATGTCATTCTTCACTGAAAAAATCCGCTCCATACACCAACACCTTGGGCCAAAATCTGCCCCCGATATCTATATAGAACTTTCCCCTCTGCTGCTGACGTCTCTGCCATCATTAGGATGTCCAAATCTTCCTCCTCCCAGCTCCCCACAGCGTTGGTTAAATTCTGCCTCCCCTCTCTGCTTCCAATCATCACTAACATCATCCACTCCTCTCTGATGACTGGAACTGTTCCCACAGCTTTTAAATTGGCTGCCATCATCCCCATAATAAAGAAACCCGGTCTAGATCCGACTAACTTCAGTAACTTCATTTCTAATCTGCCCTTCATCTCCAAAATTTTTGAAAAGGTCGTCGCTAATCAGCTTCACTCGCACCTCGCCAGCAATAACCTCTTTGAACAGTTTCAATCAGGTTTTCGACCACATCACAGCACCAAAACTGCTTTTATTAAAATTACTAACGATCTTCTTCTTGTTGCTGACTCAGGACTTATGTCAATACTCATCCTCCTTGATCWGAGCTCTGCCTTTGACACCATCTCTCGTCCTATCCTCATCAACAGACTAACCTCTATCAGCATCTCAGACACTCCCCTGGACTGGCTATATATCTTTCTGACCGCACTCAGTTCATACAGCTCAAGTCCTTACGCTCCCAGTCTTCACCCATTTCCACCAGTGTTCCCCAAAGTTCTGTACTCAGGCCTCTACTTTTTATAATCTACAGTATCTGCTTCCACACATTTTCCAGAAATTTGGTATCCATTTCCACTCTAATGCCAACAACACTCAGCTCTACATTTCAACAAAATCGAACTCCACCATACCATCCTCCACTCTTACCGACTGCCTCAGTGAGCTCAACAACTGGTTCTCCAACAATTTCCTCCAACTAAACAATAACAAAACTGAACTCCTCCTTGTTGGGACAAAAAACTCCATTTCCAAATCCCAACATCTTCTCTTCACGCTCAACAACTGTTCTTTCCCCCTCGCCTCAGGTCAAGAACCTATGTAGGTGTCATCCTTGACACCACACTCTCTTTCACATCCCACATTAACAATGTGACTCGATTTGCCTACTTTCATCTCCACAACATTAACCATCTCCGTCCTTCACTCACCTCCCGCTCCACTGTCATCCTTGAACACAGCCTAGTAACATCCAGGATCGACTACTGCAACTCTCTACTGGTTGGCCTCCCCAATAAATCCCTCCACAAACTACAGATGGTTCAGAACTCAGCAGTCCGTGTTATCACTCAAACCTCATCCTCTGCCCACATCACTCCAGTCCTACAACAGCTCCACTGGCTCCCAGTTAAATCCTGCATCATCTTCAAAATTCTCCCACACACTTTCAAAGCTATCCACAAGCTGGCCCCTCAGTCTCCACACCCTCCCGCTCTATCTGCCCCCTCCCTCCAACTCTCAATACCCACTGCCCGCCTCAGCACCATAGGGAGCAGAGCTTTCAGCCCACAGACAATACATAGAGTAGACCCAGCCTACCCTGCTGCGACACATGAAATACGGCTTGGGGTGGTGGTCCCCCTGAGTGGGAATATTGGAGATTTCTTTCTTCACATATTATTTCACATGAAAGAAAGTTCAAGTTTGAATTTGGTTACTAAAGAAGATTTAAACTYTTGCAGTAAATTCTCAGTCGTTCAGAACATCCTAACAAACTAAACCTCTTTCTTGATCCCTGAAGATAATTTACGTCTCATTTGAGAAAAGAAATGTTCTTGAAGTCCAGTTTATTAAAAAAAATTTTGGGATCTTCAAATTATTTAGATTTCAGTGTAGATTCAGGCTTTAAAATTAAGCAGATTAAACATGTTTTGTTCTAATCACRCTGGTTTGTTCAGTACAGATATAGTGACCCCTAGTGGCTCAGAAAACATGACCACCGTTCAAAACAAGGTGCTTTGTGAGTGGCGCCATAACGTAGGATGGAGATCTGAAATGTTTTAAGAACATAAACAGGATTGTTTCTTTTTGATGGTTGATATAATTTTAATTGTAACTGAGGTATATTTTTACAGCCTAAGTCCAAYAGAAGGAGAACAATAAAAGTGCATGCTCTGGGTACCCCTCAAGGGTGAAAAATTTCCAGGGACTCCCTCATTAATTTCATGCTGATTTAAAAATGATTATTTTAACCCCTAAATGCTATGAGAATGTTATTTTTGGATTGTTTTAGTATGTAAGTGCATTGTTCCCTGTATGCATTTTTAAAAGAAAAACCAAAATTAACAATTTACCAAATTTTTTTGAGGACCCCTGTGGGTCCTGGGACCCCAGTTTGAGAACCTCTGCTTTATGGAACAGCACCTGTTTGAAGGCGTGCAACAGAGCAAGTGAGCGAGCGTTCGACTCCGCCATGATGCCCTGTGAACACTGAAGGCCCAGTCAAACCACAGCAGGATGAATCACTGTTGAAGGAATGCTGCAAGCAGAACAAAAGCTATTATCAGTTGGTTGATGGCAGTAGAACTTCCATTGTCTGTGACCGCGGTGTTCTGTGGGTGTGCATAAATAATCAACAAGTGTCTGACTAAGTATTTTGTTTTTAAAAGTGTTTTATTGCACTGAAATGAAAACAAGACACAGTAAAAGTGGGAACAAATKAATAAAAGGCGAAATTAGAAACTAAAACTATCATAAAATACTGCACTTGAATATAATGAAATGAAATAAAAGTAKGCCTAACAACTTTCTACTTCTTGCCTTTTTTAAAAATGTAAGGATTAGAAGTAAAAAGTAGGCTGAAAATAAGTACTAAAGTAAAGTACAGATACCCAAAAATTCTACTTAAGTACAGTAATAAAGTATTTGTACTTAGTTACTTTACAACTCTGAAAAAAAAATGCATGGAGATGAATCATGTAATGATGGGCCGACGCCGACGGACCTTTTTTTTTTTTTTTTTTTTGTCGCGCAGGGAATTCTGGGAACCCTCAATATTTTCAAGATGGCGGCCAGCAGGAGGCTAGCTAAGGTAAATCTTAATGTCTCGTTGATTTAAGTTGTTTTAATTTTTTTCACGAGGACTTTTGATGACTAAACGCGCGTTTTCTTCTCGGATTAAGAAGGATTAAAACATTTTCTCTCTGTAAGGACTGAAGTAGTAACCCTCTGAAGCCACGATGTTATAAAAACAGGACGTTCCTGTTGTTGGCCAYCGAACCGACCGAATTAGAAAGACACCGGTAAATAAGGCTACAGAGTTCATAGTTATCTTTCAAAGATGTCCATCATCTGTATGATGAGTGCTTGTCMAAACCAAACAGCAGGGCAGCAGCGGGACAACCTGGTCAAGTGGTTTGATCCCGACGGTATCTCAGTTTAACTAGTTAGCTAATCAGCTAGTGCTATCCAGACGTTAACTGAGAACAGATGGTTTACCGTGTGGTTACTCAGTTTGTTGCTTTGAGTTAGTWAGTTAGTTTTACCTGTTAGCTGTTAGACACACACGGTTGTTAATGTGCTATATTTATGCTATAAACCAGTTGTTTCCTTGTTGGACTCTGACAGTAACCGTGTTTTTTAATGATCCCTTCTTGCAGTCCAGTTAAAGCCACAATAGCTGTCATAATACTCGATTTTTCAATGTTTAGTTAGATTTTTTATTATTATTTTGGTCATATGTTTTTATTGTGTGTGTGGTTTAAAAGAAAATACTAAAATCACATTCACTAATAAAAGTCATTGTAATAAATTAACAAGTCAGGATTTGTTGGTCACAAACAACTACAAGTTGTTATTTGTACATTGATGAGTACATGTTGGACATTGTCAGCATGCAACAGAAATTGAGTCGACAAAATGATCCCCAAATAGAATAGAATCAGAGAAAGAACAATGAAATCCAAAATGAAATCCCCCATCTTGTAATTATGAGAAAAATTAAGGAGAGTCATAGCTGATCTACACTACAGGAAAAGTGAACAATGACTGCACTATCACGTTTTATGTGTTTATTTCCTCTTGGGTATGAAACACAGGGATGTATTAAGTTTACTTAATGTTGATGGTGTTGTGTGCCGGTTTGTTAATAAACCCACCTGCACCCCAGACTACAGGAGTTRTGTTTAATCAGCTCCGTCACAAACATAACACCAGCACTCACCTGGTAGAGGTACTCCCGCTTTCAGCAACTGGATATTTCAAAATAAGAGTCCCATTCAGTACAGTCAGAACAGAACATTACAAATGGCATTATTATTAGTATATCGACATTACACAGGTATCTTCCTTTCAGTTGTTCAGGTGAAAAGCCCACTCYGACGTACTGGAATTCATTCTCTTCCTGCAGTACAGGATGCTATGGCTACAGTATGAGTAGCTAATGCCTCTGAAATGCTTAAATTATGTCCTGTATGTAAAAAGCACACACTTCCTCCTGTTTCTTTCTCTACAACTTTAGTAAACTCTGGTGGAAAACATTATACAACTTGTTCTGGGCACTCATGCATTCGGCATTAAACAGATACACATCCAGGAATGGTACCTGCTTAAAATCCTCGTATGAGATCAGGATCTCATAATTATGAGATCAGGAACTTTTTCATTTTTAATTTGGTGAATGTGGTGTTTTTTTCCATAGGAATCAAGAGATTCCAGGTTTAAAGCAAAAAAGGAAAGTTATTCTCTTGTTTTTTTTTTTTGTTTTTTTTAAGAAATGGCAACTAAAAACTGTAAAGACAAGAGTCAACAGAAGTAGTCATTTAGGGTGAGGAAATCAAGAGGTGGATAATGTTGAAGCAATTGTTGGGGCKGAGATCCAGTGCAAAAGTGCTGCTTTGAGGTATTCCAAACTTTAATGGAAGAATTTCTGTAACTGATCACTGAATTTAGGTATGATTAAAGGTGAAGGATAGTTGCTGTTTTCTAATGCAATAAAAAATACACCTGATGAATTTAACTTGCATTAACCCACAAACAATCATTTGTGAAACAGAAATTGTGTTAGAAGTATAAAAATTCAAACAAAAAAAACCACTGAAAAATAGCACATTTTCACAGCATTATAGCTTTAAACTGTCATCAGACTGGTTTGTCATAAACTGTTCTTAATTAACTTGACAAAGGCAACACCTCGGAGGTCAATATACATTTTACCTGTTTCTTTCTTTTGGTTTGTTTGTTTGTTTGTTTTGCTGAAGTGTGATGAAATAAGTAGATGTGTTTATTTTGYGAGTCTAAAGAGTTGCATAATGACTGAATCACTCTGACCATCTGACTAAAAACCAGAAACCTGTGAACCTATCATCAATTCCGGTCCTCGAGGGCCGCAGCCCTGCAGGTTTTACTTGTTTCTCTGCTCCAACACACCTGATTTGAATGAATAGATGATTATCAGGCTTCTGCAGAACTCGGAAGAGGTAATTCGAGAAGGGATTATCTGCGGAATCAAAGTGGGCGTGTCACAAGAGTGGGTGTGTCACAAGAGTGGGTGTGTCAAAAGCATAAACACTGTGGGCTACGAGGCCTACATGAYGGTATCCTTAGATCCTGCTTGATGTCTTTACAGCCTGACCCTGACCCCAACACTAAGGTTAACCAGGAGAAATGTGACCCAAATAGGGTTCTTCAGAAAAAGTGGTGCCGTACAGTAACGCCCATTTTGTGCTTGTCCAATCAGGTGGTGCCGTACGGTGTCGTCCCTTTTTTGCTTGTCCAGTCAGGTGTGTCCCTTTAACAAAGTCCGTCAAATCAGGTGTGTTGCTTTAGAATCGCCTTTCCTTGTGACACGCCCACTCGTCTRCAGAGACCCCCCTACTTGGGTAATTCACTGACTGAATCAGGTGTGGTAGAGAAGGGAAAAAAGGTAAAACATACAGGGCTGTGGACCTCAAAGACTGGAATCGATGAGCCCTGCTATTGGATATTATGTTAAAGCCTATGTTTGTGCACTTATTATAACCATAATCTGAGTTTCAAAATGAATTTAAATATCCTGAAACATTAAAATTTACTTTATTTTGAAAAACCAACACTGCCGGCTCCTGCCCATCTGACTTAATGTGCAGTGCACTGCTCACAAGAATGAAAGAAAACTTCAAAAGTCCAAAGTAGAGGGAGAGAAAAGGTGTGGTTACCTTATCAGTGATATTACTCTAGTATTACAGCGAGAGTCATCAACACAGACCGATTTGAGGATTTTACTGATATAAGTTTCTTTAAAGCATGTTACAGAAGTCATAAGAAGCAGGTTTATTTTGAACAAACATTACGTGTTCATTCCTACAAAACTGTCAAATATATTTACAAACAACACTAAACTGATTCAGATTAACATAAAATAAATCATGTTTTCTTATTAAATGTCTGTCTGCTCCAAAAGAGATTCAAACTGAGAACTCTGCTGCTTCACTGATCACTTATTATAATTAATAATTGTAATAAATTATTATTGAAAATTATCACTAGGAGTCTTTAACATTAGGCCATAACCAGGTAGTCAAATATACACACATATGTGATTATTACTATAAGGTGAGTTGTGCAAATGTATGTGAACAAGTAGCTCTTCTTGTCACTCAGTACCACTGAAGTAGCTCTCAGTCTCAAAACGTTTGGTGACCCCTGTCCTACAACAACACTCACAATTCGTGCTTTTGGTTTTGTTTATCACATATTGTACATATTTTTATGCTGTGGGGGGAACCAGAATACCCATAGAAAACCCACGCGGGTACAAGGAGAACATTCAAACTGCGCAGGTCYGAATTGAGGATCAAACCCARGACCTTCTTGCTGAGAGGCGTCAGTGCTAACCACTGAGCTGCCATGCTGCCCAAACACAATATATCTAAATATCTCAATTTTCCAAGAGTATGTATTTACCTGGTACACTACAATTTGGCTAGGAAAAATGACATTATTCACCAAATAATGCCATGATGTGACAGAGCAGACTGCATGTCATTTTCAGCAATTATACTTAAAAGTACATCTGTGACATCATGACCCTAAACTTCTGCTAGGGTTGGGCAATATTGGCAAAAAAATTAATCACGATTAATTGTGGTATTTGGCCGATAACGATTAATTTGACGATTAATCCCCTGGACACCCTTATTATGTCCTAGTTACTTGACCAATTTAGTGGAAAAGATTTGTTCTTCATAAAAATCTGTTCCAAATTGTGTCAAAATTACAGACTCCAGGCTGTACATCAATTTTTAAATTGTGTTGATAAATAAATTGCAGAACTTTTTTTAATGTTTGTCATAGTTGAAGCGGAAAGGAGCTCTGAGTGGCATTAATCTTATTAATCGTCAAGTGCCAAAAAATAATCGATTAATGTTTTTCTGGCGATTAATTGCACACGATACGATTATGCCCAACCCTAACTTCTGCTGCTCGTCCTCCACAGCTCTGCAGCAAAACACGCCCACACAAGTGCGTTTCTCCACCAGGGGGCGCACCCCACAGGGCTGAAAACTCCTGAAGTCTGTCTGAAATGAGTGGTGGCTTCATTCATGAATGTTGATTAGATTTTTTTATGTTTTTAAGCTCAAAAAATGCTGATTGTGTTATACCCAAGATTGTACTACACACGAATGAATACGATAGCTTACTGAGATTATTTTGGATTGCACTGACAGTTTTTTTGTTTGTTTATTTTTCAGGAACTTGAAGAGATTCGAAGGTCTGGGATGAAAAACTTCAGAAACATTCAAGTCGAGGAATCAAACCTTTTGTCATGGCAGGGTCTTATTGTTCCCGTGAGTGACTTTTCCTTCAGTTTCTTTTGCATGAATTCAGGTATGAACTAATTTTTTCCTTCAGTTTCTGTTTTGACCTTCAACGTTCCTATTGACGTTTCAGGACAACCCTCCATATGACAAAGGTGCGTTCAGGATTGAAATCATTTTCCCCACCGAGTACCCTTTCAAGCCTCCCAAAATCACTTTCAAGACAAAGATCTACCACCCCAACATTGATGAAAAGGGTCAGGTGTGTCTGCCTGTCATCAGTGCAGAGAACTGGAAACCCGCTACCAAAACTGACCAAGGTATGTGGTGCTGGGGATGGATGGGAGTGGTCTCCTGAAGGAAAGGGTGCAGTGCGCTCATTTGGATTAGTTAGTGTGAAGGTAGACCACTAAGGTAGAGGTGGTGATATGAGGATAGAATGTGCTGATGATCTGCCAAAGCAGAGTGAGCTTTAAGAGGGCACAAAACCCCGTTTGTGTATTTTTCTTAACATTAAGTCTTTTATTTTTGTGTGTGTTTTAAATAGTGTTGAGGTTTTGTTTTAACAATACCTATTATCATTTAACAAGGTTTTTTAAATTTTCTTTTTCTTTTTTATTGTTTCTACAATTAACAGCTTGGGGTGAAGTAAGAARAAAAATGTCTGTGCTGAATGTTCAAATGTCATTTTAATAATAATRTAGAAATAATCACAGTACCAAATGTATGCAGACTTCAGGGTAAAGATATGAACAAGTTAACATTAAAATATGTTAACACGAGTTTAAAAATTGCTCAAGAACSGGTGCTCGACTTCATCAGCTCTACAAACATGACACTTGGGTCTTGTAACCTAAAAATTGTCAGTTTTGCACAAAAAWTTATTATGTCTTAAAATCTGGTAAAAAGAGTTGTGCTAATCTGTGTCTGATTGGTAACACAGTTTGAGAGGAGTTTAGTATTGGTCACAAAGAAATAGAATAGTCTTTATTGTCATTGCACAAGTCTGTACAGTGAAATTAAACTGTACCTAAAATAATCCAATCTTTGACTCTCCAGTGTTGTCTTTTTGGTAATTTATTGACAGTCATTAGGGAAGAGGGACTACTGAGGCCCTGTATACACTACACCCCACTTTCAGCTAAGGATATAACAACCACAGTCATGCTAATAAATCATGAAATGAACAGGATTTATTGTTTATTGTTATTATACACTTTGTGTTGTTTACAACACTATATTTCAAGAAATGTAATTACAAACATAGATGATGTTGCGATGCAAGCATTTACCACTTCAGAAAATAACTGTTCAAGAACTAATATATGGAAAAAACGTGTGAATCAGGACTGTACTAAATCTACATAAACACTACATGTTTTATATGTTTATGTTTCATGTTTCTTTTTTCATCCATATTTCTTTTTTCTTATTTTATCCATTTTTTTCAATGGTTAGGTCAAATGTGCCATTAAACAGTTTGGCCACTGACTGGCCAAAAAAAAAAAAAAAGACCACCTGGATTTAACTAAGCAAACAGGTACGAGCCTCCTGTTGGATAATTACTGCAGAGCTGATTATCTTTCAGCAACAAGTTATTTAACCCAACTGGTTCAATGAGTTGTTTCTCATTTCTTAAACAACCAAAGACACGTCCTGTGGTCGTGGAGAAGACGTCAGTCTGTTTGAGAAGAGTCAAATCATTGGTACTGTTATGGCAATATTTATTTAACAAAGACAGAAATACGTGGTCCAAGAATGAAGGTACTCTGTGTGATGATCAGCTGAGTTTTATTGCAACAACAGGAAACAGAGAACAACCTGGCCTGTCTCTGTACCTCTGCTTCTCTCTGTCACTGTCTCTCCACACTGCTCACTGTTTCTCGAGAGGCCTCATATATATATTAACAAACACCATTATGTCATCTTAGCAAGATTTGATAAAAGGTCAATGGAAAACACAAAGATAAACAMAAGTGATATCTAAGAATGACTGTTGTTAGCAGACCTTGTTCTGACTTTAATCATTCTATCTGCAGATGAGCAGCATGTCATGAAAACCTAGGTCATTAAAGGATGTCATGAATTACTAGCTTAAACATAAAAGTATTAGTTCCATTACAGTATCAAGCAGAGAAAACATCTAAGAAGATTGTAGAAACTACTAAAACTGGGTTAAGAACTGTTCAACACATTAAAAACTGGAAGGATATCTTCCAGGATACTCCCATCATGCATAGTGTCTGCTGCCTAAATTTTGGGTTATAGTTAATATTTGTGTCATTCTTCTGGCTCTGTCTGTTGATAGGTCGTTTTTTATTTTATTTTATTTTATTTATTTATTTTTGTTAAGCTGAATTRTTCCTGAGGTGGACTCGTTCAGTGGTGTAGTTGGCAAGCCTTCCCACCTTCCTGGACTTGGAGACTTGTTTTAAGTGGTTCCATTAACCCAACACTGTGCTCCTATAGTCAAACCTGCTGGTCCATTAGAAGTACCGGTAATTTAATATCTAATAGTCACTACTTTGTTAAATGAGTTTTGCTGGATATTGGATATTTGTGTTCTGGGAATGCAGCATTGTTTTTCTCCTGTCTAACYCAGTGCAGRCAGKMTRATTTCAGTCAACTGCCCTCCGTCTGCTCACTCCTCCTCCACATACATGGGTTCACTTAGGGACCAATAAATCACTGAAAAAACATGACATTTTTTTCCCTAAACTGAAAGATGGGGCACATCTATTTTTATCTGATTTTTAAGACTTTTTTTTAAATTGTTGACTTCTCTTCAATATCTTTTAGGTCATCTGATCCAAGTGTCACGTTTGAAGAGTTGATGAAGTTCTTGAGCTATTTTTTAAATTATTGTTCACATTGTTCACTTGTTCATATATTTAGTACTGTGATTATTTTTTACTTATTGAAATGTCACTTAAATATTCAGCAGACTTTTTTATTCTTACCACAAGCTGTGAGTGGWAGATGAAACAATAAAAATGAAAGTAAAGTGTAAAGTCTTGTTAAATGATACACAGGTATTCTTACAAAGAATAACTCACTACTACTTAACACAAAATAGAAAAAAAATACAAATTGTCCTCATAAAACTGCTGATTTTAGACTCTTCAAATACCCTCCCAGCTTTGTTTGAAATGCCAGGAAAATGCATTACGGGTATTCTAATTTTGATCAATCGTTTGGTCAGCCCCCTACTTTTTCAAAATAGCCTCATACCCCTGAAACTTTGAACCCCCTGACATTTGTGGTCTTTTCAGGGTTCGAAAACCAACCAAAAATCTTGGTGGCAGGGTTCATCAAATTTTTTAATTTTTTACCTGCGCTGTGGGGCAACTGACACACCAAAAGTCACCTGCCCAAAAACAAATGTTCAGAAGTTGATCAAATATAAGTAAAGTATGTACAGGAAACACTAACATACAGTG